TTTTATACAAATTACAAGTCAAATATATAAGAGTATTTCAATGAGTATAATTTTTTAATACGTCCACTTGAGGTATTTTCAATTTTGCCACGAGAGCATAAATCTGTATAAAAGTATACAGGGCAAGTAAACGAACTAGAACCACCAGTCGGTCCGTGAAGCGATTTATTAAAATAAAAGTTTGGTCCCTGGGGTATGTACATACACGTGCGTGGCATCTCACTAAAACCGTGCCTTTCTTCTCATCTTGCTTTTTATTTTCATTTCCTCCAAGAAAATTTCTTTTTTTAAATCTCTCTCGTTTAAGTCTTTTGTTTTCATTTGCCATTTTTTCGCTCGCACTCGCAAACACGGCATAAAACAACTCCTACGCAGTTAAAAATTTTTTTTTCGTAACCTACCTAATCACCAGCCATTTGTATCTAAAATTTAATATAATTTATTGCGTGATGGTTTTTTTATTTTAATTTTTTAGTTTCGATTTGTTATTCTGTGTTGAAAAACACTTTTTACACGCAAGAGGTTTGAAAAAATTTGATTATATTCGCAACGAGTTATACTGCAAGCGAGTATATAGGTTTTATTTGTTTATTTATGCAAAAGCGAACAATTTTGTGAACACGATTTTAGTTTATCTCTTTGCGATAATTTTTTAGAGAATGTTAAGACAATCCAAAATTTCTAATAAGGTAAAATATGTTTTTTTAATACAGAAAAATAATTTTATAGGATTAAACAGTCGGACCGATGAATAAGTTAGTAGTTGTTTTAGTCGCGTATTACTGTTGCTTATTTTTTAACCCAAGGGATTCTTATGTATTAAGTTTAATGTGTACAACAACATGGAACTTCTAGTGGTAATTGCTGAACATTTCGTCGATTTCATTGTTATCCGTTACTTGGAAATATTATTACTTGATCAATAAGATGGACTATCTAAACTTTTAACTAATTTGAAATTAATTTCATAATAAAGCATAAAATATAATAAGTAGGTTTAAGAAGTTAATTAAATTAGGGAACTCACAAAATACATTTTTAAAAACCACCACCAAGTGCAAATAAAAGTACGATTTACGAACAAAAAAAAAAGATAATATAACGTAAGCGTAAAGAAATCAAACGTTTCTTTTAAAATATTGTAGTTTTACAATTTTCGAGAATATAATCATAAAATTGAGCTTTGCTCAACAGCTTGGCAATAAAATATGGGAACAATAGTTCCATAAAAGTCTGACGAGAAAAATATATGTATACTTAATTTTGCTACATTATAAATATGCTTATATTCTTTTCTGCGCGATTTAATCTAACTATACTATTATAAATATTTATACGTGAATACACGTGTATAATAATTCTTTTAAATAATATCTGTGTGTATATATATATATTTATATGTATGTACACGCACACAATAATAATGAATGGCCTTCGATTATTGCGTTGAATGATGCACGACACATTCGTTCCGCCCTGAAAAGTCGACGACAATAGTACATCGAATGTACACAAAACCATGCGCCATTGCTTGATTGAGAAATTCTTTTGATTCATTAAATAAAAAATTGTTCAGTAAAAAACAAACAAATAAAATTACTTAATGTGTACGTGGCTTAACGTGAACGTGTTGAAAAATGTGGGCATTCACGGTAATTCACGATCGCGCGGAGATTTTTCTCCAGCACAAGAGACCGAAGTCTCCGTGGGTAGGCGCGTATTTTTAGATGCCTTAACGGTAAATTTGTAAAAAAAATAAAAACGGAGGACTGCCTTACATGCGCGAAGAAACTTTCAGTCGTCGCTTTTCGGGGCGAAAACGGAGGCAAGTGAAAATTCGTCATCGCGCGGGTAACTGGATATTTTATTTCTGCGTCGTTATGGTACTATGTTGTATAGGATCGGTTATATTTATGACCGAGAAGAAAAAAAACAAAATGAAACGATACCATTTTTTTTTTTTTTTTTTTTTTTTTCCTACACATCGAAATATCAGGCACCATTGCTGTACTTTCAAACCCTCGCGCCTCTACCGGTGTATGCAACGAATAAAATTTGGTAAAAAAAATTAAAAAAGAGCGTTCTACATTGTATGATTTAAAAATCTTTTAAAAAATAAAAATCGTTGGGCAGGAATTCAAATTTTTTTTCCTCGTACTTCAAAGCACATCAAAGTGTCTCTATAACGCTTTAACGAGCGACTCTAGTGGGGTTCCTCTCGGCGCGTTTCTATATTTAAAACCCGACCCAACTTTTCTTGCGTCTGACTAACAAAGTTCTAAAAACTGCGTGGCGCGCTGTTGCCGCTGGTTGACGGATGATTTTTTTTCTTTAACGCGTAAATATATATGTGTCTATCAATAGGTACTTTTATTTATAAAATACGTATATTTAAGTATGTATATATTTATTTATGTATACTTTTAAGATCTGGAGAATTTGAGATTAGATTTATGGACGAAATTGAGTTTGCATTTTTTAAATATAAAAAAGCGTGTATTTAAAAAAAAATTTACTTTCATAAAATCTCTAACAATATACCCCTATATAAAACTATGTATCAATAAAAGTGTCGGAATATAAACTTTGAAATGATAATTTATCGAGTAAAAGTCGCGATTACGCAGCTATGCATGTCTACTCGAAATATGTCACGTCGATTAGAATAAAACTCAATGTCTCCGTTCGCGCAAAAAATTGTGCACGTAGAGACAACTAACATTTATTTTGTGCAAAAGAAAAACAAAAAGAAAATAAAAATTAAACAATCGTAGCAAAAAAAAATCAATAATAATAGTATACATAAGTCGTTATCTTTGTAACTCATTGCCGATAAGCATGGCTCTAGTCGTAAAGATTATTTTTTTATTTTTTTTTTCTTTTCTCCACAAAGAGCACGATATTTTTCTATACACATGCGCTGCGAGGTGAGTGTAAAATTTTGCGTGACACAACTACTGGATGCGATGGAAAATAGAAAAGGAAGAAAGAAAAACAAGTTAACTGTACAACTAAATGATTGCGCAACTTGTACTCCCGAGCTCGGGGGCATCGCGAGGCTTCTCCTACTTGCTGCTGTTTTTACTTTCCCTCTGCGTAAAACAAAAAAAAAAAAAAAAAAAAAAAAAAAAAAAAAAAAAAAAAAAAANCATTAAAATAAAATAATTGCAGCAACGTTTTAAAAATTATAGAAAATTTGTAAGAAATGAGAAAAAAAAATTTTTTTCAACATTTTAGCCATACAAAGTGTAGCTGGATTCCCCTAAGTTTAAAAGTAATCCGTCCCGATTTTTTTTTTCTCTAGTGATATAAGTAATTTATCATAAGTTTATTATTTTTTTTTAATTTTTATAATTTAACTTTTCGATAAAAATTTTAAAAATCTCAAACCACCTTACCAAATTCAAGATAACTTTCAAATCAGCGAGAAAAAGTAAAAGACGGAGCTAAATTATCAACTTTTTTGTCTCCCCCGCTCGTGTCTGTGTACAATGTAAGTGTGTATGCGTGTACTACGTAGAATGCAACGCTAAAATTCAGAACTGACGAACAACGACTAGTAATTGACTTATTGAGCTATTCTTACGTACTCCTGAACTAACTTTTTTTTTTCTTTTTTTTTTTCTTCTTACTCTCTTTAACTGAGCCATGAGCTTGAACCTGTGCTCACAACTCTGCAACTCTCAATGATATGGAGTCGAGCGTTCAAAATTCACTTCTGATTGCCCGATCATCTCACCTCCTCCCGTTTTCTAGCCGCACGTCTTCTTAAAATTTATCAACTAAATAGACTATGCTTAGTGATTCTTGCTATACGTGCAAACGTTTACATGCTAAATCACTCAGCGTGAAAATTTAATCGATCGTTCATTTAAAAAAAAAAAAACAATGCAAATGGTAATAATTTTTTCTTTGTATACAGGTGTAAGTTGTGTGTATACATATAGATATATTTTCATATGTGCCTACCGTCAACAAAAATGAACGATCGGTGAAATTTTTCGTGTAGAGTCTGGCTCTGAACGAACAGCGAGAAAATCAAAGCTGCTGTATGAAAAAACTACGAGCCTTTTGGCGATTTTCTTTCTACATGTTTGTTAGAGTATATATTATGTACCACTTGTATCGCAAAATTATATTCATACAAAATATAATGTTGATTAAATTATGGATGCGGTACAATTTGCATCAATTCACACAAGTGAACACATTTTACGACTTTTTTTTTCTTTTTCTTTCTTTTTTCATATTTTTTTTTTTTTTTTTTTTTTTTTTTTTTTTTTTTTTTTTTTTTTTTTTTACGTATCGAGTCTCACATGTGTTGTTTGAAACTCATGCGTTTGCAAAACTTTCAAAGTTGAATTTTTGTAAAATTACTGTTGCAGCTCCGACTCACCGTCGATCATTTGAAACGACGGATCTTCGCACGAGTAAACAGAGTAGAAAAAAGAAAAATACAAAAGAGAATTGTAATGATATAAAAGTGAGGTGTACAAAAGTGTAGACTCTCTGAAATGCCAAACGCGAATATCCACTTGATTGGATTCCCATCGTTACATCATTATACACAGGACATACCGGACACAAACTTAAATTGTACTTTTTTTTTCTTGGTCGTGACTTTTCTTATTTCCCCATATCAAAGTCCAGAGAGTCGCTACCTTTGTACAGCTGATGATACGTCGATCATCCGAATAAAAGAGACCATCACGTACGAGGACGCATACAGTTCGAGCCTTTTTTTTTCTCGTGCAAAATTCATCGGTATTAGCTGCCACTCGTCTGAAAAATAAAAAATGAAGTAGTAATAATCTACCAATTGAGTATTAATGAGCAACAAAAGGACTCGTACTGTATTCGATCCTCATCTCTTGTATATATATATATATATATATATATATATACACCTCGTATCATATACGTCGTACAACATTACATATATGTTACATCGTAATATTACACCCGCAACGTACATATATATATATATATATACACCTCGTATCATATACGTCGTACAACATTACATATATGTTACATCGTAATATTACACCCGCAACGTACACTGGCGTACAATACAATAGTAATAATAATAAATGTACGTAGGTATAAATAAGGACGAGAATTACAAACAACAATAACAACAACTGCAACGCTTGTACGTGTACATCAGTATGTATATGCACGATGTGGGGGAAAAAAGGGTTTCGCAGGGGCCAGCAGATATTCGACGTCATCTCGCCGAGACAAAAATATAAGAGACGCCGTCTGCGAAAAGTAGCGTGTAAACAAAGAAAGAGAAAAAAAAAATAAATAAACGAAATAAGTGAAAAAAAAAAGAAAAAAAAAAAAAAAAAGAAGAAAATAATAATAATAAAGAAAGAACCACGATTTTCCGCGGTAGTAGTAATAGTATATAATTATGTATAATGTAAGAATAGAAGCATGAGTAATATAATTGTAAGAAGGAGAAGAAGAAGAAGAAGAAAAATAGTAATAGTAGTAATAATCATATAAATATAATGCGCTCGTGCTTTGGCTGGTTTCAGCGAGCGAACAACCCACCAGAATGATCGGCCGTGGCGTACTCGGTGGCGAGTAGCGGCGAACTGGCCAGAGCCGCGTAGTTGGCGTAATCGGCATAAGGGGCGTAGATGAGGCCGTGCGGGTCACCGGCCGAGAGGAGAGCGGAGCCCGGCGGTGCGGACCCGTTGAGGATGGAGGCCGCGGTCGTGGGTACGGATATCCTCGGGGAGAGTATGAGGGGGGCGCCGAGGGGCGCCGAGGTGGTCCTCATCTGCGTGCCGAGGCCGGGTAGTAGGCGTTGCGTCTCGGCCGAGGCGGCGACGACGCGCCTCCATTCCTCGTCGGCGGCTGCAAGGTCGAAAGCTAGGATCAAACGTATTGTCGGGCTCTAGTGGTGGGCTCGTCGGGAACGCGATGGAATTTTTTTTTTTTTTTTTCCTTACAAAGCTCGTGGACGTGTTTTTTTTTTTCATCATCATTTATATCAACGTCTCCGAGCTTTGACCGTTTGTGTCTTGCTTTTCCCTATTTTTTTTTTTTCTTCTAATTTTAATACTTTTTACAACAGTTACATCAATGATGTTATAGTTTTTTTAGTACAATGCGTATTTTTCCATCTTCCTTCATGTATTACACGCTAATGATGGTTAGACCATGTGATATCAAAACAGTCCTCTGTTAAACAACACACGATATCGTATATATCAAATGTACAATTAATTTATCATGTGCGAGAAATGATGATCAAGTTAAACCGAAATGAAGAATGAGAGAGAAAAAAAAAAAATTAATTAATAAAATTAGTGAAAGTTAGACACAAACTGAAAAGCAGAAATGAATGTCGCGGGTGGGACGATTGTACCTGTGGCAGCGGCTATTTTGGTGTTGGAGTCTCTGTAGGTACCGTTGATTATGGCAAGCTCCATGAGCTGCCGTTTCTTCAGCTCGTCCTCCCCATCGGCCTGCTAACGATCGATATTAACGTTAGTATGCTGACTAAACGTACGCTTGGAATTGTTTATTTATCTTTTTTTTTTTTTTTTTTCCGGAGATGGGAAGAGGTGGGGTACGGGAAATCTTAAATATGTAGGCCAACCGTGGAAATAGTCGGAAAAACCATAATACCGACTGGAGGCGTAAACAAGGGATCGTGCGTTTTTGTGATGAAACGGGATGGGTGCCATTATTAGGTCTCCATAGTTTTTCCCAACGAGTTTGAAAACATTTGTTGTTCTCGATCCACGCGTGTATACATACATTATATATTTAGACCAAACCAAACAACGCGCGCAGTCAAAAATGTGTTGAAAATGAAGTTAAACTTTTGCAATCGCGACAAAGTCCATGTACATATTATATATTTATTTAAAAAAAGAGAGAGCAAGAGAACGGAAGACTCTTCTCGTGACTTTGTTTCAACATCACGTAAGAGCGATTACGACCGGATGCAAATCAATTATCCTCGTTGTAAATTCAAATGAAATGACATTAACCTTTCACCGATTAGCCATTATACGTGTTTATCGTTACAAAAAAAAAAAAAAAAAAAAAAAAAACCAATCTCATCTACGAAGCATACACTTATACTTAATAAACGCGTATACGTGTACATTATAAACATCGTAAATCGCGGTGTGGACACTTGGTCATACATATATATATACTTGTGTTACAAGAGCGGGCGCGCCCTTAATAGTCGCAAAATCGCCAAGCGTGCAATCTATATGCCTACATATCGCGAAATAACCATGGGCAGTGCACTTATAACAGTATATAATATACATATATACGTAATAGATCACGCGTGGGAGTAGTGGTCGGGGCCGCTTTTAACTCTCGCGTTCTCATTTCCTATATTCAAGTCATCATACCTTTATAGCTATTTCACGTGTGTGCGTTATTGCGCGCCACTGCACTATTAATATGTATATAATATACGTATAGGTGGTGCATGCCTTGGCGTGGAAATACACGCAAAACCCTATACCCCCCTCGCGCCTCTTTTTCGTCTTCTTCCTTCTCCTGTACCTATACACGCACACACTCACACACTCGTGTTTCTCTTTTGGTACGAATTTCCCGACCTGGTTTTCAGTTCTGGATCTTGCGAAATGGCTCGGTATTAATAATAACAATAATAACAGCCGTGATATCTCGGGAGGGGGAAGTGAAATGGGAAAAATGACGCCGCTGCGTGAAGCATACAGTGTGATTGATGACAGGTGCGGCACGTACGGTTTTATGGGCCAAGTGCCGAGTCGGGAAGAGTGAGATTTTTTTTTTTTTTTTTTTATATCTGTCCACGTGTACAGCCACTGTGTCGGAAAAATGCGGAAAATCCAGAGCGAATGTACCCATAACCGATCTTGCGTATAAGAGAAACGAAAAAAATCTTTTCCCTTATGGTCCTGACTCAAGTCCACACATATAGCGTGTTTATTTTTCTCTCTTTTGTGAATTTTAATTAATTTTTTCGCACAGAACCCGAACTCGATTGTTAATTCAACTCTCCCACCGTATGTTTCCACCGTGAGCCGCTTTTTTTTTTTTTTTTTTTTTTTTTTCTTAATGTCTTCCTATCATTAAACACCCACGCGAGTGCTACCCACGCGCGCTTGTGTTGCGCGAACGAGCGCAACTAATGACATTATATGAATGTCCTTCGAAGTGTCAAGTTTTCCCAATAGAGCCGCCTCGGCGTCGTTTCGCTATAATTTATATCGACGTATACGAGTGTCGGGGGGGGGGGAGTGTGATAGGGAGGAGATTAATTGTAAATAAAAAGCGAGCGTCGTAGCACGAGTCCGAGATTTTTTTTTTTTTGAAACGCGTGATTGGAAGGGCTGAGGATGTGGGGGGTTGGGGCGGGAGAGCAATCGGAAGTTTCTCACCACGGGCACGAGGAGTTTCTTAACTTCCTCGACGGCGCGGGCGAGTTTCAGCTGGGCCCGATTTTCCGTGTCCTCGACCGTCAGCAGCACGTGTAGCTCGTCCGTCAGATGGTCCCAGTTGGGCTTGCCTCGGTTCTGCTCCTCCTGTGGAAAGAACAGAACAACGGGAAAAGGGAAAACAGAGGTGACGATTAGTTTTTTTTTCCAACATCAGTTGAATGTCGTTGTTTTCGTGGTGTTTTACTGATTTTGGGATGTACAAGAACCAATGGACATTATATAAATTACAAGTGCAAGTTGACTATGATTTCGGGGGATTGGGTATAAGTACAATCGACAGGAATTTTCTCTACTGACATCAAGTCTTTTTTTTTTTTTTTCACGCGATGGTAAAATCACATTGTAGTAATGGTAATCGTAATGAATAACATCATTTACGGACAAAAAAAATTTACTCAAATGATAATAATGACAACATTAGACGTAAAGTGAGAAAAAAAAAAGATTATTGGTCTATAGAGTAAATTTCTGATTAACGAGTAGCACAGGGATAAAACATAAAACTTGTAATTGTTTGACATTAAAACGATAAAGTGTATAGAGTGTACGTAGGAAGTAGACTAAAAATAAAGTCAAAGCGAAAGAACGCAATAAGTGTAATCGAGAGACAAAACACACGGATCACGTGAACAACACCCGACCAATTTTTCATGACGATTGTACGATGAAAAATCGGTTGGGAGAAAACTTGCCATGGTATGTAACTAGAGTACGTGCACTTTTTTGAGAATCGAACAAATATATTTGCTCCAACGACTGTATGCATGGATACGTAAACGATTGTCAAACACAACAACCACAGGTAAAATAGCTACAACTAACTTACATGCTATGAGACGTAAATTAATTAAATTAACAAAATAATGTATGTATCTATACTGATACGCTACACTTATAATAAATAATACATAAAAAAGCTAAACGAGTGAAACGAACTAAAAATAACGAGCGAAAGAAAAATAAATCTTGTTCATATATGCACAAAATGTGACGGTGTGGCGTTTAGGTACGTTTACAATATAAAGAAATCGCACAAATATCCGCAACGGTAGTAACAGCGCGGGTGTGCGTGTTATACTTACGTCCGTGGCTTTCGTGAGGGAGCGCCGAGTGCAGCTTGAAAACACACAGAGAGAAAGGGAGAGAGAATCGAGAGAAAAGTTAAGTATTGTCAACGAAAGAAACAAGAAATAAATAAAATAAAATAATGCGAGATGTGCAACAGCCTCGATGTTTTCAACACAAAACAATCGCTGTGTAGTTTTTTTAATTTACCACTCTCTGGTCTCTGCATGTTGTGCGACGAAGAAACATCTAAAACTGATTGTACCTATGTATACGAAAACAGATATGAGGGTATTTATAACGCGAAGCAATTTTCGTGTTACCTCGAGTTTGTTTAATCAAATAAAATACATTCATACCTATACTCGCGCTTTTCGGAGCGTCATCAGTTTCTCGCGACGCCGCTTCCGCGCTTCTCGAGCTCTCTTGCCAACTATATACACGGGCTGGTAAACCTAGGTATACATGGGACCCGCTAAAACTATCGGGGCACACGTGCACGCACATTGGGACCGACATCGCCAACACAATTGGGAAAAATCTCGTGCCCTACCTATACATAATATACTCGTGCGCAATGTACATCTCGGGTATTCCAAGTGCGGCTAGTTTCTCGAAAGTAATGGGAAAATTATGTGGCTCGTTTATGTATTTTCAGTGGAGACGACCGCAAGGAATATTGGGATATATCCAACGGCGATGTTTATTTTGGAAAGCAAGAGCGACGCGGTGGTCACAAAAATTATATTATCCCCGAACTGGTTTCAACTGTATAAACGCACATTCGTACGTATATCTAACGGAAGTTGCAACATCGGCTGAATTTAACGCGCATTTATAAGAAAAAGACTAGTTGAAAAAAAAATCAAATCAAATTATTTACCGATGAGAGGTGAAAAAAAAAAAAAAAAAAAAAAAAAAAAAAATTAACCATCATACAACGCTACATGTTCGTGTATACGTTAACTTTAGTCATCATTTCTTAAAAACGAATGAATGAAATATGAATTCATCCAAAATATATATTGTGTGAAAACGCACACGTGCGTCCAATCAAAACCCAGATTCGTAGAAAACCTCATCCCCGCGAACAAAAGTTATAGTCTCACTAGAGTACATATTGTACGCGAGCGCCAATAATCACCCCCATGCCTATATATGCGTGCACAAATTATTCTAAAGTATATAATATACGGGCGGCGCTAAGTGAGGCGTCAATTCTCGATCCATCACATGCAATGCGGAGCTCTCGTCGGCGTGCATGCGTCTTTGGTACAGTAGATACATAAATATACACGTATGATATAATGTTTGAACGTGTATGTGCGTAGTCGTAGAAGCTGCTGGTGCCGTTATTATGACGCATGGCGGACGAGTGCGCGCCAAACAATTTTTTTTCATTTGGTAATACGCACCAAGTGATGATGATGAGTATATGGGCAAAACGAATGGGGGCGATGACGACGATTCCCAATATGTTCATGTGATTGGACGCGTGAGAATATACTTTAGTTTTGTTCATTTTCGAGAAAGGAAAAAAAAAAAAAAATGAAAATCAATAGTTTACGAGTAGGTATATTAAATTTGTATCCGCAACTGTCGATACGAGCAAAATAAAAAAAAACAATTTATATGTGACTAATATAAGAGGACGTCGTGGACGCACGATCGCGCGTGATATACAGTTGAGGAGGATCTCTGAAAGGATATTTCGCAACACACGCGTACAAAGTAGGTATATATGCGCAATTTCGCGTTGGTATATATTATATATATTCCGTATCGCAAACGAGCTTGTGCTGATGGCCATGCATATGTACATGTACCCTGCAAGCGCAGCGGCACCAACTCTCGTTGAACGACAGAAGGAGGAGGAGGAGGAGGCAATCGTCCTGGTTTGCATTGTCCCAAGCTTGAGCAAAGGGACCAAAGACGACGCCGCCCCCGTCGCTCGCACACATTATATTTATATATATACGTGTGCAGTGTGTGCAATGCATGCCGCTGATCGTTTTAATGCTAACCAGTGGCTACATATACACCATAAGGGCGAAATGGAGTTTTTTTTTCTTCTTTTCCCTCTTCTCGTTTTCCAAGCGCGGTCTTTCGTTTATTGTTGTTGCGGGTAAGTGCGCGTGTCTCCCACCGTGACTCTGGATTGTGCATTACATACACAAGTACCTGTACTCTTATCGGCAGGTAAAGGGTATATACACGGTTGACTGTCCACAAGGGACACTTGCACAATACATATACATACATTATAATGTTGTCTCGCGAGATATTGTGAAAAATTATATTGACGTTCCAATGCATCTATTGTGTACCACGTACCTACATTATTGTACTCCGCGTCTCTGTACGATAAAGATATACATCATGTCGTTGTTGGGGGGTTCGTAATAGTTTTCACGTTATATTTTTGATAAATTACGCGACATGTATATGTAATACGCTTACGAACCGCGTAACAACGAGGGGAGACATTTATTGTTTCGATAAAGACGTAAGTACTTTCACGAAAATCAAGAGGGAAAAAAGAAAAAAATTATCTTTTTTTATCACTTATGGTGATATGTACCATATTATATTATATACTACCCCCAACCGCTCGATTGACCACTGGTCAGTGAAACGACATTCAGGCCGGATACCTATACGCACACCTGTTTCTGCGCTCCCATTTGTGCGCCGTGGAAAAAAAAAAAAAAAAAAAAAAAAGAGGCGGAGACGGTATACAAAATACGTCTACGTGTATACCTATACGGAGGGGGGCCGCGATTTCACGGACAATTTTCTTGACAAAACGCACGTACATCAACTAGAAGACCCCCAAAACACCAGCAACAGCAGGGCTACTCACGTGACGCATAAAATACATACACCTCTCGCTCTCCGAGCTTTTTTCACGCGGTTGCCCACCACACGGCTTTTTATATTTTTACGTTTACATCATACCCATCTAATGGTCATCGTATAGTATGTATAAAAGTAGGTATAAGTGTACATATATTTATATACGCAATATGTCATAATATGTACTGCCTTCGCGAGTAATATCGTGGCGAGAGCTTCGAGTTATACGTGTATATACGGGGGGAAAGAGAAGTGAAATGAAAAGAAAAGGGTCGCCTCGCGCGTAGAATAGATTTTGGCGATCGTTCAAGAAGCGTTTGCTCAACTGGGCCTGCAACCCAATTCCTCTAATTGCTTCCTAATCATGTCGCGCTCGCGTGAGAGAGAAAAAGGAATATGCTGTGATCGGAGAGAGTATACGATACGACCCGTCGGTTTGCCCATCGAAGCCAGAGGGGATTCATTTATTAGCTCGGAAAAGTACAATGGATCGCGAACTGATGACGCTATTTTTTATAGTATATTATTATGACGTGTACCTATACATGATTCGCTTTGGTTTAATGTCAACATTAAAATCGAGTAGTGGTAAACTTGGCTCTCGAAACGGAGCAAAAAAAAAAAAGCTGATGGCGTATGCATATAATATATTACCTTCTTCTTGTCTCTCATCGAGCCCTTGCCTCGGACCATGATTTTGCACCCCGTCTCCTGTTCCAGCTGTTTCGCCGTCATACCCCGTGGACCAAGGATCCTTCCAACAAAGTTGAACTGCAAACAAAAAAATGACAAGGAGCACCGATTAATTTATCATACATATACCGACAAATATATTATCAATTTTTTTTATTTTTTCCTTGACCCTAAACAAATAAGAAAATAATCAAGTTTCGAGTGCACGGTCTATATACTGTACACTCGCCCGCTTATCAAACGTCAACAAACACTTTTTTTTCCCCACGTACTCCAATTACGAGAGTACAGCCACCACCGGCAACATAACAACGGCTACCTTTTTTTATCTCGTTTCATTTGTCCCCCCCCCCCCTCCTCCCGAATCTCTTGAGGCACGCGACACGCTCCCCGATATCTATACGAGATCCAGAGCCTCTCGGAAGCATCAATCGATGTACCTGCGTGAATGGGTGTACACGCACGTGTATTACGTGAAAAATAGATCTACATGACCATTCATTGTTCCCCGGCTCCGCCCATCGCGGCCATCGTTCCAAAAGCCGATTCCTCGAGTTTTCTTTCCATGACGATTTTCTCTCCAACTTATTTGCCGGCGATAGTCGCCTCCGGCCTATACCTTGACTACGCGTGTGCCTTACAGGCGCGCTTCTCTTCTTTTGTCCGAGAGAGATGAGAGAAACCACTAACGTTTCGCTGGTAGGTGGGGCTTGGCTTTTTTGCTCCTCACTATCCTCACCGTCCCGAGGACTCGTGCAACGGCAAGGCATTTATGTGGAGGAGGAGGCCACGGCGCGCCCCCGCCGTTTACGATAATGACGAGGGTCTCTTGCTCTGTACAGTGATTTTTTTTCTTCTTTTTCATACTTGACGTGATATTCTATGACATATATAGTGTATAAACACGCGGGCACTTGTGCCGCAAAGAAAGAAAAAGGCTTTCCGACTCGGCGTTCCGCTTGACAGTCGCCAAACGACACTTTGCCGTCCAATATAGGCAGGGATAAAAAAAAAAAAAACAAGTTGTTTGTCGTGCGTTTAGTATTTCCTTCGTCTTGAGCGCCTTTTCGAGTATCCATTAGGAGGAAAGGACAAAGAGAGCCACGACGAGGACTAATCGATTATTGCGGGTGTTCCGGCTAATCCATCAAGTGAACACGGAACGGATTAATCGAACCAAGAGATATATATCATATTGTTGCGCTCGATACACGCGTATTAAAAAATATACAAGCGTGTGCCGGCGTATTTTTACCAAAAGCTATGGGAATAGTATAAAGTATTGCCACACGTGATGATGTCGCGTCAAAAGAAGCCGCAGCGCTAAAATATAAATGTGTACATTTGCATACTCGTTTATCGTACGGAAGAATCGAGAGCACGTTGAGTACTCGTATACTCGCAAACAAGAGGAGAAGAAGAAGAGAGAGTTGTTAAGTTCACCGATGAAAAAAAAAAAAAAAAAAAAAAACTCGAGACAAAAGTCGGTTTGTAAAATTAAAGGATATTTACTATATGGTGCGCGTTTACTTTGTACAAGCGCTCATGTGAATCACCTACTATAAATTCCCGACCCGATGCAGCAGCAGCTGGACTGGAAATCTCGGGCAAGACCGATTTTGAGATTAAACTCCGAACGCGTGCACACGCGTCTTTTCCCCCCCGAAACGGCTCGTGTGTTATATTACATAAGAACATGAGGTATACCTGTTGTACGTAAAAGCATCTCCGAGATTTTTTCGAGAGCATAAGCGGAAATATTTCATTTCCACTCGAGAGGAAGCATATACGTCATACTTTGGACTCCTTTTACGATTGTAAGGTGTAACTAAGTGTCCCAAGTGTCCCAATGGACGAAATCGCGAAAACAAATAATCATCACTTCGTTAGACTCTCGATTACCTTGAAAAACGTATCAATCATTCGTTCGACTTATTAGGTAACTAGGCGTTTAAATTATATTTGATGAAAATCTGCAATAGAGGGCCTATCAAATGAGGTATACTGTAAAACTCGCGTTGGAAACAAAAAAAAAACACTTCCTCAATCAAGCTATCGCGCATGTACGACGTAATGGGAGCTCGTCAACTAAAGAAAGTAAAGAAGGGGGGGGGAAGTGACAATTTAACTCAATTTATCGGTGATTAATTACAACCAACAAACGAACCGAGCGTTGATCGAATGAACGCACCCGCAACCCGACATCTGTTGTTCCCACCTTTTTTTTTCTTCCCTTCCGCGGTCAGTCCATGGTTTTTTACACCCCATTATTCTATTATTTTGTCTTTTCACCACTAATTAGGAATTATCCGCTTTGGGTGAGTCATCTTTTGAACCTATACTTTACTTGTACAGTCAAAGTCCTTTGACACAAGTATATACGGAAAAAATGGTGATTGTTAGTCATGAAATTCACCAAACATATTGCATGAGGATTGCATAGAAACTCTTATGGATTAAATGAAAAAAAAAAAAAAAAAAACTTATTCTCTGTGCACTTGCAGCACGCAGAGTCGATACTATATACGTGGAGGGTTTACAAATCGCGACGGCTTTAAAGGTGTAGGTATATAGGTTGCTTCGACTCTCACGCTTTCTCCGCGCGCGCTAAGGGCACCTAAATAGTGGAAGATTTTTCTTCGTGTACGTGCCTATACGTATATATATATATGCATCGTATGAATGCACGGAAAAAGGAAAATAACGAGATTGAAAGGATAATGCACGTTCATCGGCAGGGCTACCGTACACACGTGTGTATATTGTTTTGTACTAAACAGACACGTGTACATACACAGGCGCGATTGTTCTCGAAAAAGTTTCGCGAGATGCTATAACGTGCACTCACACCAACAATTTGCTTATTATTGCTCTTCGTTTGTACGTGATAGTGATGCGATTTGTATATGCGGGTAGAAATATCTGATGCACGCATTATGCTGTACGATCGCAGTGTTTCAAGTTTTTTGGTTGAAGCACAGACACACGCGCGGGCAAACTGCTCATTATTTTGTACAAACACGATGATTGATGGTAACAAGTTAGTGTACACATCAGTACAAACATCAGTATAAATACGTTGCGACGGTGTGTGTGTGTGCAGCACAACGTGTAATTTTATTGTGTCTGCACTCGTTGAAGTGAATTGGAAAACTATACGTTAGTATATAATATATTATAATATGAGGTATAAGCTCAAGTATTCATTGGAAAATTTCATTTCGTTACAGCGTTCGTTTTAGTTGGGGTAAAAATAACCAGCGTCGATTCATATGTTTTGGTGACGCAGGACGATTCTGCTTGTCTCTTTGGGTAAACATCAACTGTATGTACATCTTCCTTCGCAAAACTGGTTACCAAACGCCACCACGAAAATCATGAAAAAGACGACCTTTTTTTCGATCCGTCACCTAGTTTTGCCAAAAATTCAAATTTGGTCTCTTTCTTTGCACCCGACCACCAATTGAATGTATGTGCAATGCCCGAAACGCTCAAATACTTAGACCAAGAGATCTGTAAATGTATGTATCATGTCTCGATCAAAGTGTCAATGAACCGATACCGCACGACGAGAGACACAGATATAATAATATATCATAGCAGTTTCCCGCACAAGTAAGTATGCATGCACTGCACAAGTAGTCACAGAGACGTGAAATTCTCTCGCTTCCAAAACAGAAGGAAAAAGAAATACGGAGAGGGGGGGGGACACATACACAGGAAGCTTACTGTACATTGGCTTCTCGATGCATTGCAGTTGTATATATACCTATATACGAGATACATGGCTCGGGGAGACGTCATTAGCCACTCGCGGTCACGAGTACTCGTGACCCGCGCAACAGTAAAGGATAACCATATATATACATACAGAAATAGATGCAACAAAAAAAAAGAAGAAGAAATCTAGCGGTGCTGCTGCTGGTATGTATATATAATAAATAATATATATACATGGATCAGTAGGTGACTCTCCAGCTCTCGAGAGATAAGTGAAGAAATTTTTTTCTTTTAAATAAAAACAGTAGACGAGTTATGATTTTTTCGTGTGGACTTTCTTTTTCCTTCTTCGAGCGAGGCTTGCATAACTCTGATGCATCGTTGCGAAGTGGATTATTGGTAAATCGGGCTCTTTCGAGAGGATCTGCTCTGTCCATGGGATGTCATCGTGACGTTTTAAATTAAAGGTGCATTGCGCCTTAAAAAAAAAAAAAAAAAAAAAAAAAATCATTTTTGCAAGTCTCTACGGATTATCATCAAACGACGACTGTAGGGATTGGTTTGGTATAGTACCATCATATGCAGTTACAAGAGATAACATCCGTTCCGTTCTCGGTGCACGTGATGGTGCAAGGCGAACGGAAACTGCCGAAAGTTACGGCAGTTGCATTATCAAGAATTTGGGTGCAATGCCCGGAACAAGACGTAATTATACAGTTCAAAGTAGTTTGCAATGACGATTAAATCCTGGAGTTGAAAATTAAGATGCTCATGGTGTTGTTAGCCTACATCAGTGTGAGAAAATTTTATTAATTTAATGAACGCGTTTTTCGGTTGACTATAGTTTTTTCGGCTCATTTGAGATATATCTACATGCCATATTATGATGAATTCAAATGACGTCGAGTTCCAGTGCTGTGTATGGACATTTTTCTAAACCATTTAAAGTGCCTTCTTGGATTTCTAGTATATAATCCCGAGCGATGTTTTATCAATAAAACCCCATTTTTGCGCAATCATCCTTCTCGTACGTAAAAAAAAAAAAAAAAAAAAAAAATCGAACTTAAGAAACGACCTTGAACAAACAAAAGAGAAAAAAAGAAAAATACAAGACGCTGAAAAACCAGAAGGAGAAGCACACGAAATATAAAAATGATCGCGAAAATTGCACAAACAACTCTACATAAACATATTCGTACACACCGGTATATAAACTTTCGATTGCACTTGCAGTCCTCTACTCCCTCGTGATATATATGTATACCTATACGTGTACAGCAGCAGGATCAGCACACCCACATAAATAGCTCGCTCGCTCATTCGCTTTTGGCAGCGAGTATTGCAATCACCAAGCGCGCGGTTCTTTCGAGAGTGGTATACTTACCGTGGAATATAGGTGAGAGTAAGTACCAGCATTAGAAGCATCAGAGGTATATCGGATATGGCAGGCAACCGAGCAAACAGTAGCGGCAAAAGAGTGCGCCAAGTCACGGGCATTACGTGGGGGGCACGACGTGGAAAAAAAAAAAAAAAAAAAAAAAAAAAAAATTGGACGCGCGCGTATAACATATATAACAAATGTAGGCACACATCGGTCCGAGCTCCGAGGAAGAAGCAGAGCCTCGCCGCTGCCTGTGTGTGGGTATATTGTGTAGCATGTAACGGAGAGCGCGGGAGAGATTCTATTCCGAGCGCGGGACAGAAATAACAGCTGACTCGGTGGTGTTCTATCGTTGTTGCCGAGCTCCGCGCTGACCACAGGGGAGAGCCAGAGCTTTTGTGTGTTGTACACGTTATTATAATATGTACCTGCGACGAAGAGGAAGCGAGTGGGAGCTTTTTGCGCCGACTGATTAATTTTAAGCCATCGGAAAAGTTGCGAGGCTGATGAAACTACATCTGTGACAAAAAGAGTGCGTACTTGAACAATAATGGCACAAAAAAAAATCAACGATAAGGGTCTTTTTCACGGGACATATAACTCTCAAGACTGAAAAAAAAAGCTCTTTTAACGAGCATATGATGTGATGGATGATATTATCCTGCATCTGTATACACATAGAGAGTCGAAAAAGAAAAAGCTTATGTATTACCCTTGAATAGATTTAACCAAGCGTTCGACATGAATAATAATAATTTATCGTTTACGTGTGATTAATTGTCACGTACATCTGTGGGACAGACGTACACGCATCTCTCGCGCACGACTATTAAATCTTCCGAAGAGTTTCTCTTACCTCAAACACGTGTTTGCCCATTTTCAACAAAACACGGCTGATGCGTTTTCATTTAACGAGCACTTGGTACCAAAGAATAAAACAAAAGACTCATCTTTTTTGTGCATGTATAATTGAGAGAGAGAAAAAAAATAAACGAATAAAATTGTCACTTACGTCTGGGTGCTCTTTGACAGGTACGTAGACTTTTTCCGTGAGCGTCACGGCTTCGCCCTCCGGGTCTGGAAGAACGAGCGGATCCTTCTTGGCACCGCTGATTTGAAAAAGGCTCGCTCGGACTTTAGCGATTTCTGCAACATTAAGGGATCAAAATCAACAAGTGTCATTTACCACATTATTATTATATTTATCCACAAATGTGCATGATGTCATGTTTTTAAAGATCAAGTAAAGCCACTCAAAATACAAGACTAGTGTTTTTCTCTATTTCTCAGTGTCGATGACGACGACGAGTGACCTAACGCTCAGTCCCTCCAGAGAGCGCGAGATGATGTCACGCGAGACTACATAGTGCTTATGCGTTACTCAACCACAGCTCCCCAAGATCTACTTTATCCAAGCATGGCTGACTACTTGAAATAAAAAATCATTCCACTACTTTAGTTTTTTTTTTTTTTTTTTTTTTTTTTCTATAATGTGAAACAAAAAAAAAAAAAAAAAAAAAAAAAAATTAACCATCATACAACGCTACATGTTCGTGTATACGTTAACTTTAGTCATCATTTCTTAAAAACGAATGAATGAAATATGAATTCATCCAAAATATATATTGTGTGAAAACGCACACGTGCGTCCAATCAAAACCCAGATTCGTAGAAAACCTCATCCCCGCGAACAAAAGTTATAGTCTCACTAGAGTACATATTGTACGCGAGCGCCAATAATCACCCCCATGCCTATATATGCGTGCACAAATTATTCTAAAGTATATAATATACGGGCGGCGCTAAGTGAGGCGTCAATTCTCGATCCATCACATGCAATGCGGAGCTCTCGTCGGCGTGCATGCGTCTTTGGTACAGTAGATACATAAATATACACGTATGATATAATGTTTGAACGTGTATGTGCGTAGTCGTAGAAGCTGCTGGTGCCGTTATTATGACGCATGGCGGACGAGTGCGCGCCAAACAATTTTTTTTCATTTGGTAATACGCACCAAGTGATGATGATGAGTATATGGGCAAAACGAATGGGGGCGATGACGACGATTCCCAATATGTTCATGTGATTGGACGCGTGAGAATATACTTTAGTTTTGTTCATTTTCGAGAAAGGAAAAAAAAAAAAAAATGAAAATCAATAGTTTACGAGTAGGTATATTAAATTTGTATCCGCAACTGTCGATACGAGCAAAATAAAAAAAAACAATTTATATGTGACTAATATAAGAGGACGTCGTGGACGCACGATCGCGCGTGATATACAGTTGAGGAGGATCTCTGAAAGGATATTTCGCAACACACGCGTACAAAGTAGGTATATATGCGCAATTTCGCGTTGGTATATATTATATATATTCCGTATCGCAAACGAGCTTGTGCTGATGGCCATGCATATGTACATGTACCCTGCAAGCGCAGCGGCACCAACTCTCGTTGAACGACAGAAGGAGGAGGAGGAGGAGGCAATCGTCCTGGTTTGCATTGTCCCAAGCTTGAGCAAAGGGACCAAAGACGACGCCGCCCCCGTCGCTCGCACACATTATATTTATATATATACGTGTGCAGTGTGTGCAATGCATGNTTTTTTTTTTTTTTTTTTTTTTTTTTTTTTTTTTTTTTTTTTTTTTTTTCTATAATGTGAGAACCAAAAAACAAAGACGAAAAAAAAAAAATTGCTCTCGATTGCTTGAATGTACTGCAGAAGCTTTACGTGCTGTAGTGTCAAGGCTAACTGACCCGCAGTTGTTCGTCATCTGACAAAACAAAACTCATTTGTACCGCAAAAAATTAAACTTATCCTTCCGCGCGCACATGACGGCAAAAAACCATTCACACGCCCATCGCGAACCACCACCACCACCATCATCATTATCATCGTCTGTATATTATGAGTAAGGAAGCTAATGCATGTACGCCATACGCATGGGCTTTGCGATCATCATCGGCATCGGTAACAACGACGGCGCTATATATACATACCTCCATGAGCAACCCGGCCTTGACACAGTACGGCAAATTACATTACGCACCGAGGAGACGAGGGGGGGGCGGTCCACACACGTGCACAAGCATATTATACGTATGGGCACATGATGCACGATGCCGCGCCTGATACGTCCACATATGCATATACATAATATATGTACCATCAGGTATAATATGGCTACAAGCGGTTAGGTGCGTATACATCAAGTATACGTATATGGAAGGTATCACCGCTGGTGGTATATACATCAGCTCGGGATTAATCAGCGCGCCGAATGGAATATAAACGGAGACAATGAGAGATGATGCTGCGAACTAGCGACGCCGAGGAGGAGGAGAGTCCCGTTCGGAGTTTTCATTCGTGCTGTATGTATTGGATTTTGGATTTTGTCATAGATTGCAGTTTTTTTTTTTTGTTAATTAAAAAAAAATATGTATTATTGTGGATGATTATGCTTAATTTGTAGATGACTAGTCCGAACCGATACGACCGGACGATAAAACAATTTCTTTAACACCGTGTATGCTAAAAAAGCACTTCGTCGAGGCGACGACGTCCATTAAGGATATCGTAATGATGATGACGACGAGGGTGGATAAGATAAGGATGTGCAGCTCTGTAATTGATGTGTAAAGAGACGACGCCCGATGTGTGTACGTATACATAAATAAACGCATACTACAAGTGGTAAGCAACTCGACTACACGCGCGTGCATTCCTCGATTGGATGGTGAGCATTCCGATGACCGTGAGAGGCTATATACTACTTGTGACGGAATCAACAGAGATAATATGCATTATCATGGACGAGTTTTTTTTTTTTTTTTCTTCATAGTTTAGGAAATTCATAGATATTCATATACGATGACGAATCGCTCGCGGTATGGAGCTTGAAACTTGTGATCGGTGTACATCGTGTAAAAATGTCGACTCGACCTGCAGATTAATTCCCGCTGCACGAACAATAGGATTATACGTCCCAGAGATTACGCCACTTTGCGCCACTTTGTGTGATTCGACGCGAGGAGAAGGAAGTGTGTCTTTTCCTTCGACGACGAGGAGGAAATAAAGCTCAGCGGTGAGATGGCACTTGTATAAAATAGGCGTGTCAATCCGAAGAGGCCGAAAACGGGCGTGGCCGACGCTCATAATATATGCGTCTCTCCCCTTTGTATACACCTACATATATTATATCCCTTCTTCTCTCTCGTGTTCTGGTCTCTATCCATACATACATACATCCTCTGTATCTTTGCCCCATGATGCGATTATCTTCGTAAACAGTTCGTGCGGTGGTATATAGTTGCACGATTGTAATTGCGCGATTTAGCGGTGGGCCACTCGACTCGTTGCTTCTCTCTAATGACTAGACACACTGTGTATAGTACATCAACCTTGTGGGCACGAGGATTAAAATTTAGGAATTGATCTTGATTGCACCAAGTTGTATGAGTTGGGGGGGGGGGAGCAATTAAATTAATTGCAAGCAAGTAAGTATACCTCGGTGGCATATTTTTCTTTTTTCTTTTTTCTTTTTTTTTTTCTTTAGAGGGGCCGAGTCGAAAGCGCGTGTAACGAACCAGTTTGCCGATCGGCCATCCGGGTGTCCGTGACGTTCTTAATTACGAGGCTCGGTTTCACCAGAAATCAGCCAAACTCTCTTTCACGCGTGGCCACTGCCTACATACCACCACTATAATTGCGTGTTTATCTTCCGTGTAGCGACCGTACTTATATATATATATATATATATATATATGTGTACAGGTGCAAAAATCAAAATGAATCAATTAAACGCTCGGTCGGCCGTATTTTATTATTTTCCCTCGCAACAGCATATATAACACACCTACGTCGCTGACTCGTGATATAATATACGTATACGTACACCTAATAATATGAGGTCGTCAGTATAACCGAGTATAACATAGGCGCGTCGGCCGAAATCAACGCTCGTTACGCAACGTAATTGCAGTGCCAAGGATGAATGGTTATCTTCTCCTTCTCCCGCGAATTCCAAGAGGCCGCGGATGACGCGATAACGTTGAAATGGAGATTAAGCCGCGTACAATGAGATATTGTTTTTTTTTTTATGTTTTCAGTACCGCCTTGGGCGAACGAAAATCGTTTGTTTTCGTGTGACTTTGGCATCCGAATCGATTGGGCAATAAAATTTGAAACAAAAATTTGAAAAACGTGGGCAAACTCGAGCGCTATACATATACAAGCCCATGATAATCAACGAGCTCGTAATGGAGGAAGACATATGGAAGCAGTAGTACATATACTCATTAGATTTTAAACATTACAAGCGCGACGAATAAACGGAGCAATTATGTTAATCGCTGAGACTGCAAGTCCATCTCTTTCTCGGCAGCGACTTCAAGCCCATTAATTGTTTCTCCACTCCACCGAAGACTCGGTTCATCCATCTGTCTGTGCACATACATGTTTATGCACCCATGCCTATATATATGTGTATGCACTCATGTGTATACGTCTATACCGAGCGTGTGGTATAATAATCACGTTTGATTGAGCATCATCTACATTGCAGTGCCGTGTGTAGAGGTATACCTACTTACGTGTATAGGTATAGGCATACCCTTATTATTTTCATCCATAGTCTCCATATATTTACGTGGTGTGGGTAACTCTTTCTCTGATTCCAATTGTCCAACTGTGCAACTTTGATTGTTTCTCGTTGCATTTGGAAATCTCTTTAATTTCGTGAGATTTTTTTTTTCTTCATTTATTCAGCTGTGGCAGTTTAACGCATCCACGCTAAAATATTGAGTATAAATATAAAACCGTATACTATATAGCGCGGTAATCCCACGTCTTATTGGGATCACCGCACTTTAACAGAGGATGTTTAAAAAAAAAAAAGGGCAGTAACAGCAAGCCAAAGGTTAATGCTTCCTCCTCCCATGAGTGCGTATGAACATGTAGCACCACGTCGTCCCACTTTCTTCCTTTATATTATTTACTGCAGCTCGTCGTCATGAGTATTACATTTGACTTGCACTCGTGGTGAAAGAAGAAGAAGGTAGGTATGCGTATAGCATTGATGGCGGATGTGCAGTGTCCGCCGAGTACATGGGTACTTCTGTATGGGAGGACAACGTCATGTATGTGC